TTTTTTTTATTGTAGAGATGAGGTCTCACCAGGATGCCCAGGCTGGTCTCGAACCCATGGGCTCCGGCAATCCTCTCGCCTCAGCCTCCCAAAATGCTGGGATTATAGGTGTGAGCCACCACACCTGGCAGTTTTTGGATTTTTTGTAGAGACCAGGTCTCACTATGTTGCTTTGAACTCCTGGGCTCAAGTAATTCTCCTGTCTTGACCTCCCAAAGTGGTGGGATTACAGACATGAGCCACCACACCCAACTATCTGATTTAAATTTGACAGTCATCCTAAGAGGCAGGCACAGTTATTATTTTTGCTTCATATTTGTAGAAATGGAGGTTGAGAGAAGTTAAGTAATTTATCCAGCATTATTTTCCTCATGAATGGGAAACCTGGATTGAACCCAGGCAGTTGGTTTCTTGTACCCAAGCTCTAGACCATTATACTTCACTACTACTCTGGTATTAAAAGGATCATGTGGATATAAAACAGCAATCCTATGCCTAATAAATGAGAAACTTTGGGTGATGATGAAACACGCTCATGTTCGAGAACCACTGAACTAAAGACTCCCTAGTGTTTATTTCCTCCAGCCCAGCTGTCATGGCTTCCAGCTCATCAACTGATACCATGTGTGGACACATACACCTTCATACTCCCTCAAACTTGTACATCATCTGAGTTCAATATATGAGTCATTCTGACCCCTGGTTCTATAGTATGGCAAACCACTGCACCCAGGGAGCTGTTACTTATCCTAAGAATTTTGGGCCAGGCACAGTGGTTCATGCCTATAATCCCAGCGCTTTGGGAGGCTGAGGTGGGAGGATCACTTTAGCCCAGGAGCTCGAGACTAGTCTAGGCAACATAGCAAAACCTTGTCTACAAAAATCAAAACATTGGCCAGGTGTGGTAGCACATGCCTGTAGTCCCAGCTACTTGGAAGGCTGAGGCAGAAGGATTGCCTGAGCCCAGGAGTTAGAGGTTGCAGTGAGCCATGATCATGCCATTCCACTCCAGTCTGGGCAACAGTGTGAGATTCCGATTCAAAAAAAAAAAGGAATTGCCAGAAGTTTATGGATAATTTGGCCCAGCAATAGGGGGAAGAGAGAGTTGGGAGAGACTTGCTTTGCTTGTAGCTTAGGCATATCCCTGTCTCTGCCCTTGGTCTTACCTTCAAGATTTTGGTTAGGTTCAGGATAGACCAGAACTCAAAGAGAAATTTTTTTTTTCTTTTTGAGTCAGAGTCTCACTCTGACGCC